CTGCTGAGTGAAAACATTATTCCCAATTTTAAAATTAATTATTTCAATGCGAACAGTTCCTTGACCTTGCGTCAAACCATCCACACCTTCAATGAAAGTGACCTTTTTATACGAAATTTTACTTATTCAATTATCAAATTATATACGACTCAGACAACCCAATTAAAGTATCCATCAAACGGTGTGACAATTCACAACCAAACCATGAGAACTTAAAATGTATTTGAAAGAAAAATTTCACTCTCCCTGGTAATGAGTGATTATTATTACCTTTCGGTGCGGGCAATGTTAACATTGGCACTACTGACCTCAACGACCTACAAGAAATCCATTGAATATCAAAAACTTGAACCTTTTCCCGCGCTCTTAGAGTACTCGAAAGTAAACACTAAATATAGACAAAGCGCGTCGTGTTTTATGAATCACGCAAAAATTTGCTACACAGAAACAATTCAGGTGTTCATTATTCCTCGATACAACCTATGGTTAACCTAGATTTTCGGATAATTTTCAAAGTGTGCTAGAAGCACTTTGAAGTGTCTCTTATGGCTAAAGTGTGTACCGCGAATTTAATTAGCCATTGTTGTTGAGTAAACAGGAAACACTAGAAAAGCATGTTCAAACAATTAAATTGTTCATAGGTGGGTAATAAATTTTATTAATTCTGGCCGAGCACACAAACTGAATGCCAGTGGTTAACATCAATTTGTTCTTTTGTATGTATTTTGTAATATTTGAAAAACTGATAAACTGGTTCACTATGCTATTTTTTTTAAACTATCACTGAGTTTTTCTGAAGTCAATTTAAAATACTGCAAATTGCAAAACACCAGATGAATAAATCTACTGTTGCGAGCAGTTGCTAAAGAACATAAGATGATTGATTTGGAATTTTCAGTAGGAAAACGTTTTATGCATATCTCGCCTTATACAAGTCTTATTAATGACAATAAAAAAATGTGACGCAATCATTTGCTGTTGAAAATAAATATACTCAATTTTTCACTAATAGATAATCTTAGAAATTTTTTGAATTTTAAACAGAATTGAATTATTTCAATAGACTTAAACTCTTCAAGCGATTTTTGAACGATTTCGATATTTAAGCTTTCATTTATATCGTATTCTCGCTTCAAGCACCCTAAACATGAATATTGTGAAGCATTTTCGGTCGTAAGCAATCACGAAGCTCGAAAAAAATTTCTTTTGTCGAACCTTCAGATCCAAAAAAATCGATGTTCAAAGTGTTAACCATTTCCATCACCATTTTTTTTTCTCGGAGATTTTTAAGCAATTGCTTACTCAATCTGGCCTCAAACTCCTTCTAATCATGTATATTGGGAAACTTTTAGGCCGGAAGCTATCCATTACAATTACATATACATATACTATGTTATTACATACATATGTTATTACATAACATTAAAAAAACAAGCATGTGAATTATTGATTTTTATCGGAAATTTCATAAGTGTTGATGGTCGATTTTTGCAAAAAAATATGAAATGTCTGAAAAATCTACAAATTCTGAATAATTTTAATAGCAGGGAAACGTCGGATCCAGCAAACCATTGAAAACCACCCTACAGATGCAAAATAGTCCAAAATATAGACCAATTTTAGGCAATTTTTGAGCGCTTTCGATTTCTGACTATCGATTTCTTTCTTATTCAAGCATCAAACACTTTAATCTAAACATATTACGTCGGAAATAATCCGTAGAGTTCAAAGAATGATTCTGTAAAATTTCGATCTTCAACCGAAAATTTTATTTTCTGTTTGATTTTTGATTAAATATTGAATATCTCAAAAGCCTCAAATACGATCTTTAACAGTCGATTTACTCCTTATTATGTCCTCAAAAACCCTAAACATGCATGGTCTTAAGTCAGGTCGTCAACAATTCGTAAAGCTCGAAAAACACGCGTATAAAATTATAATTTTTAGCCGAAAATTCCATAAGGGTTGGGAGGTCGATTTTTTCAAAAAAGATCAAATATTTCCAAATGCCTCAAAATGTTGATCCATTGTAAAGATTTTTGAGCGGTTACGATCTTTAACGGCATATATCTTCCCGATTGGATGACAAAATCTCTAATAAACTAGTAAAAATAGTAAACAAATAGTAAACTCACAAATCGAATGGTCAGACGTCCCGTTTAGGAGCAAAATAAAATAAATTCTCTTCAAAGTAGATCTCTAGAGAGAAGAAATCGCTTTTCAGATATGTGATAATAACAAAGCTCATTCAGCTAATTTAAAAAAATCGTACAGTATTCAATTAAACTAATCATTGGATCGTGTTAGTAAACCAGATGTCTCAATGCACACACTCTAATCGTATTTCCTCAGATCACTTGAGCATTGAAAAAGATATGCACACTTGTGCAAGAAATTTGATGACCGTAAAAACACACTAGTGAGTGGATTGTTTAATTAAAATGTTCTTGGCGTTTAAGTGTTATTTGCTCGACCAACTGCTAGCTAGCAAAAGCGAAAGGATTATCCCACCAGAAAACAAATTGAATTTGAAGAATTGTTATAATTGGTAAAAGTAGTCTTACAATGTATAAAGCTTTTCCACATGAGACTTCCGCATATAGCCAACTTCAATGGTCCCCTAGGGTCTTTTCATAGATGAAAAACATTGCTAAGACGCATTGAATGTTGTTAGAGTTGTACATGCGCTTGCATTTAAGTAGAAGATGCAGATATTTCTATCTAACTTTAAATAATAATGAATTAAAAGCCAATCTTCTACTTGGCAAAGCATTTGAATCATATTCCAATACCTTGTTGTCGAAAATTAAATTTGAATCACGTCCATGAGAAAAAATGGCGTTAGGACATTTACAAGTTTTCAAATTATATTGACCTACAGGTTCCCAAGCTGTGAATTCTATTAAAATTCGGGTAAAAAAAATATTCGCGATGTTGTGAAAAGGATTAACGGTTTTATTGTTGTAGATAATTTGATTTATATCTGGTGGGAAGTCTTACGAGAACAGTTTCGAAAACGTTACTCGGACATGACTTTAACACAATGACATATTTGATTCTATTGGTGTGGGTTAATTCAATTTGTTTCGGTTTGAATCAATGCCGCAGGACTTGAAACAGGTGCCTTACAGCTTCAGTTAATAAATTTAATATATTTTTCCTCTTTTGCAAGCGCTACTAGTTTCTGCCTAAAGATTTTTTCATTATCTTTTAATCATGTTTTTGTTGAGTTAGTATCCTTTGGTTCTTGTTCAACTAATAAAGGATCAGTAAAAACGAATCATGTTACTTACAGTTTCTTCTAAAATTGTTTTTTTTATCCTCGAACTAGCCTTTTGTGTGCTAAAGAACAAAACAAAACACACCGGCAAGATGTTGGTTGTTGATAAAGACTCTGAGGCTTAGTTGGGACTTAAATATTGCAACTATATGTTAGTCACCATTCTGAAAATTCTCATTGTTCTGCACTTACGGAATGAAATTCTCCTTAGTACTCGTTATATTTGCCACGATAAACCAAATCTAATTACTAACAATTCACATTTTTTTACAAACTTCTTTTTGGGTATTTCGCCTCAAAAATATTGTCTTTAAAAAAGACAGAATGACATAAATATAGACAAATTACAAACCATATTCTAGTAAGTTTTGATGTTGTTAGTCTATTCACTAACGTTCCTGTTGATAAAACTTT